AAAAGCGCACAGTAAAAACCAAGAACAATCACATTAAATGCAAAACTTGTCTTCTCATCTCTCTTAAAAACAAGTTGTAAAGTGCTATAAGGCGACGTGGTCCTGAGGAGGAAGCTTAAGTGGAACTCTACTTCCAGAAAAGCTGATTGGGTGCCCCGCACCCCAGCACAGGGCTGAGGGGACTGGAGTATTGGGTGCACCTGCCTATTCTGCTCCAGACGTCTGTGTAGCCTCTGCCCCAGGGGAGCAGGGAGATTCAGGATGCTTAGTTGTACCCACATAGGCCAAAGCCCTCTGTCACTGACCTGGCTACTCATAGGCCTCGATCAGCTTGTCATCACCACTACTGCCCAAACTGAGCCATAGTATTTGCCTCAGGACCCCTATTCCAGTGGGGACTCAGGCTCCCTAGACCAGGCTGCACACTCATGAGGTCCTGCCTGGCTCCTGTCCTGGTCGTCAGGGCTGTCAGGTGCTCTGGATTGCACTACCTAGCCAGCTACTCTGACTAGACTGATGGGAGGGAGGCAGAGGGTATTCATGGGCTCCCACACAAACTTCCAGTGGCGGTATGGCTGGACCACAGAAGATGGATCAGGCCACATTCTGCTACAGCCCTGAAGCCCCTGCACAAAAACTACCACCCTTCCCTTTGCATCAAAATCTGAACTGGCCCAGACCCAGACACTTGCCACCCAGTGCTTCAGGGTGACTGTGGCTTCCTGACTGACCATCAGGGCTGTCCAAAGCCTAGCTCAGTGCAGAAGAAACAATAGTCACAAACAGCCATTGAGGCTACGGAGTGTTCCTACTGTGTGCAGCCACCAGCCTGCAAGCCCAGCCAGAGGTGGCAGTGACTAAGGTCTCTCTGGTGTTTTAGACATAGGAGACATCATTTCAGGGAATCTGGCACTGACCGGAAGGCCAGTTATCTTTGGGGCCCTGCCCCAGGGCGGGGGTTCAAGCACTCCCCTAGCCATTTCAGCAGCCTGGGAAGAGTGCTCAGCTCTGATGGCACACTCCAGACCTGAGAGCCACTCCCCAAAGTTGCACCACGGCAGAGCCAGGTTGCTCTGACCCCCACTGGGCCTCTGGGCTGAACCCGTCCTGTCAGCTTTCTCTGAGCACTGAGTCTCTCCAAGCTAGGAGACAAGCATCAACTGGGCCAGCATCCACTCCACTAGGAGCTTACCTTCTCAGGCCCCACCTCCAGCTGCTGCCTCTGCTCCAGGCAGATCTGCCCCACTCGGGCTAGCAGATCATGAGGGGGCATGAAGACCCGGGAGCTCAGGAGAAACGTGAAGATGTACGTCCTCTGAAGGAAGCAGACAGGATGGATGCTGGTCAGACAATCCCTGCTTCCACAGGTGGGCTCAGCTACTGCACAAAGCCAGGCCACTCCCAAGCCCATCACCTTGGGCCCTTGCCCACAGGTTTCCTTTATCTTATACCACCTTGCTTCTATTGCTATGCTTGTCTACCTGAGCAGCACAGCTCTGCTGGAATTCTCCAGAACCTTCTGTTGTACCCCGGAATGGGGACCCTCCGGGCCTTTTGATGGACTCCTGATGCCTGGTAAAACAGGGTCCAAGCTAAATTGAAAGGCTTGGTGACACAGCCTGTGGCCAAAGGCTCTTTGTGTAGGCCATGGGTCAGTCCCTATAGGACCTTCAAAGGCTCCTTCAGGAGAGGGAGGCTGCCTGGGGCCCTCTAGAGGGACTTTACCCTAGCTGAACCTTAGTCTGTCCTCATTTGGCTACTGTAGGCTGGATTGCTTAGGTCTCTCAGCTCCAACTCCCAGCCCAAAGGACAGGAACTTCCTTGCTCAGGCCTGAGGCCGCCTGGGCCAAGTTTGCTGGGAGCGCATGCTGTCTGAAGCAGACGTGTCCATGCCATGGGGGAGGGGTAAGACAACTGAGGACAGTTCTTCCTGGGACACCAGGGGCTCCTCTGATCCCTGAACTCCCTGTGGCCTGTCCCAGGCTGTGCAACATGAGTAGGTTTGAGACTCCCAGGGTCTGCCTTATAAGCAGATGACTCAGACGTGCAGGGAGGGCAGATCAGGGTCACACCATGGGCTCCTAGCCATGTCCAAAGAGTAGGGACCTCCAGGTATGTTTTCAGGGTATGCATATGCTCAGCATGTACATGAGGAGAAAGGATCGGGAACTCTGAAGAGGAGCCAATGCCCAGCTGGGCTTTCCTCCACTTCCTGTCCTGCTGGCCCCTCTTCCTGAGAAGCTGGGGGGCATCCCAGGGCAGTGGTCTGGGAACTAACTGGGTGACCGTAAAGTGAAAACCTCTGTGATGGGCCCATAAGAGGGTCCCTCCTTGCTTTGGGAGTCACTGCTCCATGGAATAGGCAGAGCTGGAGGACTGTGGCCCTGCCCTGGTTTCTTTGAGACCTGGGGTCCTTCCTCCTGGCTCTGTCCCAGGCTCTCAGCAGCCACTTCTGTACCATCTTCAGCCCTGCCTAGTCCTTGACAGGAAGTGGACAATGCAAAGGCAAATCGTCCCAGAGCCCAGGAAATGCAGAGGTGGTGTTACAGGTGGGGAAGCCACGCTGACCCCAGCACGGCTGTTGGGATGGCATCTGATGGCCAAGGCCAAGAGCCTGACTCTCCCTCAGGAAGGAGTGGGGTTGTTCATCCATGACCAGCCTTCTCAGAATGGACACTTAGTTCACAAAGGGAGCAGCCAAGCCTGCAGTGCCACTGCTGCTAAGGGATGTCACCCGTCACAGGCAGAAGGGAAGTCAAACATGACAAAGAGATTGCCTTGTCTGCTCACAGAATGTCCAGTGCCTTCTTGAGGTGAAGAGGAAGGCTTTGGGTTGTTGAACAGGGAAAGGGACCCTGCTCCCTGCCCAGAGTCTGCTTGCCTCTGAGGAGGGGTGGGTTTTCTTTTGGAATTTGCACTTCTCAGCTCAGAGATGCACTCTAGGAAGTAGTCTGGGTTAGCTTTACCAGGTCACCAGGACTCCAGTGCTGACTTTGCCCTTTAGACTCTTCTCCTTCCCTTAGGGCTGGGCCGTTTGTACGTCTCTGCTTCCTGTATGCCCCACCACCCCACTTTCTTCACTTGCTTGGAAACAGAAGGGAAGGCACCGTAGCTTCCTTGAGACACGTATTGTATGTGCAGAGTAGATGGTGGTGAAAGTTCAGGAGGTGGGGCTGGCCCCACTGCCCGCCCCGTCCCCTGCTGCTCTGTCCATCTCTATAGCTCAATCTGGGCCTTCTACCCTCCCAGAAGAAACCCTCCCGCCCGCCACCCCGACCCCAGAGCTCAGGTTACCCCTCCCTGTTACTTCCTCAGATCCCAGACACTCACATCGGGATAATAGTCCACCGTTGGGACCAGGTGCTCCATCAAGGCCTCGAAGGATCCAGAGGTGAGGCGTCCATCTTGGAAAATGAGGTCCCTGGAGCCGCTGCCGGCCCCACCTCCCCTCTCCCCCATGCCGGGCTGCACCTGTCTGCTACAGCTGGGCCCAAGGATGCTGGAGAACACCACAGATGTCTGGGGCATAGCTTCCTGGAGAGAACAAGGCAGTGAGGTTTGTGTGTGCATGCATGCCTGGGAGACCCAGCAGCACTGCCCAGGGAGAGGTGGTTGGGCATTTTAGTGGTCCCTTGGACAGTGAGTTCTGACCAGTGTTTCTTTAACACCTGTCCCATGCACACTGGACCTCACTCTAGGACACTGGACACAGAATAGGTCCTCTGTGTCCTACTCAGGCCTCCTGGGATTATATCCAGGGGAAAAATAAACTATAAAGTTCAGGAAGCCTGTGGTCATGGCAGCCTGAGAGGTGACCTGTGACTGATGGATGTGCTTGGATGCTGCTGGCCACTAGCTATGCAGCTCCTAGGGATAACAAAGGAGCATCCAAGGCCTGAAGGACAGCAGGCGCCTTCTGAGGCAAGGGCATGTGGAGGTGAGTGGATAACTGAGGACTGAGCTAACCAATGCATGTCCCAGGGTCAGGTACAGTACGCTGTTCCTTCTAAGAAAGTTGAGAGTCAGTCTGCTCTGAGCATAGACGCCAAAGGACCTGGCATGGGAGGCATGTGGAAGCTGATGGGCCAGTTTTGCTGGACCATGGGGAGAACTTGTCTGGTCAAGTGGCAGCAGAGGGCAGTGAATCTGACTTCAGACAGACTGAGCAAGACGGAGCAACAGACAAGGTCTGGGGGAAGATCTGGAACTTACTTTTGAATATGTGAAATCAGAAAATACCCTAGATATATAGATGCTCAAGCAGGTAGGGCAGCATCCTGGTGGGATTGGTACCTCCTGGGACTGACTATTGTGAATAGCCTGCCTTACAGGACCCCACCACCACCACCACCACTTCATGCAGCTGAGCCTCTGTTGAGGCAGTGGCAAATCCAAAGCCCTCTGAACCTCAGTTTCTGCCACTGGCCAAAGTAGCCAGCCAAGTAGGGATCAGTACAATGCAGTCATTGCCAACAGGGTACCTGTGCCTCAGGGCATCTTCTCCTTACTAGCCAGCTGAGACTGCCTATGGGGCTAGCCTCTTCTCCATCCTTGGAGGCAGGTGGGCATAGGGCACAGGCAGCTGAGATCAGGTGGAAGAGTCAAGTCACACCATCCTACCATCATGAGGGCCACGGGCAGCCCTGCAGAACTTAGAGGTGAGGGGCTCTGCTCTGACACAGTCCCCAGAGCGCAGACCCAAAGTCCTCCCTTGGTCAGGACATCCTCAGGCTGAGAGGGGCTCTGTTTGGAAAGCAATGGAAAGGACCCCACGCCTTCCTTGGCTCTGTGACCTCTGCACAGCCCACACACTGCAGCACTAGCAGCGCACAGCTGGCACACCGCCTTCTCCATTTCCCTACTAGGCAAAGTGGATAACAACCATGAGTACTTGACAGCCATGAGACCATGGGGTTTACAAAGGGCTACCCTCCCCCCCCCCCCCCCCC